TCCCCACTTTTTAAAGGTCGACTGGGAATCAGTGGGCGCAACCTCCAAATTCTAGTGGTGAAGAATCATCATCCACCACCTTTTAGTTCGGGCGCCACTGCAGCGTCATTAGGTTTTGTTTTTGCAGCAGGAAGCTTGAATGATGAGCAATGCCATCGTCGGGACTCGAACCTGGACTTCTCGAATATGCACCTAGTGTGCTAACCTTTGCACCATGAAGACATGCAGAAAGGAAGGAGAAAATAGTAAATGGAAATGCCTTGAAATAATTTATTTAAGCAAAGATTTTCTTTCATGTATACCATGAAAGAAACATATAAAATATATATGTTTTTAGACATGTCGTATTAAATCACACAATGAAATTTTGATCACCTCATATTACAATACCCTCTTGCATCCCTCCTCGGCAATTACCCGCAATAATTGAACAGTTACAGTTACAGCGCAGTGGTTTGTTAGAAAATCTCTCCCACATAATACGTTATGACCATTAAAATACGTTCTATGTTGTGACAATTATCTTATCCAACAGTGAATTTACTACCCACAGTGCTCTGCAGTAGAGCGTTGAATCAATATGTTCTAAATGGGCTGGGGGAGGAGTAGAGAATTAGGAACGTAATGACCCCGATTGGGCTCTTCTAACTGCTGATCGAGTGCCAGGGCTTGCTACATAATCCAGCGAATATTGATGGCGTCCATACTGAGTGATGTGTAATTAGTATCGCTGGCGACACTGCTTAATGGATAACTCTGTACTGACTATAGCAGTTGTACCGTTTGTTAATAGTGGGAATTTAATACTATACTCTGCGCACTATCTATGTATAATTAACTATATATGGCTCTCTGTTTGAAGCTATACATGCCTTAACAAAATGCTATAAGCAGTTTTAAGTAGTCATAACTTGAAACTGATAATCCATTCACGTTATAACGAATCTTTAGGATTACGGGGGGGGGAGAGATGCTTTATATCCAGTGGCATATTTCACAAGTGCGCATCTGCGTAGCCACTGAGGGAAGGGTTTCGAAAGTAGAACAATAAACTTCTATTGCTCTTGTGTCGCTGTTTTGCCATATTCAACACAAAATCATTCCTAAGATCATTAATTTTATGTTAGATGATACGAAGCTTTTCAAAAACTAGGATGCTTTCCGTAAACAATTAGTATTAATAAGCACTGTTCAACTGGAATTGGGTTGGATTATTTGTTTATAGCAGTGCTTTTCAGCCGACTTACATGTACCTGTATGTATTGCTCCGAGGGAGGGTGGAAGGAAATTCCTCAACGAAAACAATGTAATAATGAAATGTTAATAAACAAATAAATATAACTTTTCGTATCTTATGTAATTTGTCTCCATTCTGATACCATGTGCATCATTTATTTCTGATATACTGAAGGAGACCTAAAAACACTTAAAAAAAAAAATATCTCCCCTTATGATCCCTGACACAGCCGTTTACTTTCCTCTTCCGTAATTAACGTCAGTCTTGACCGCATTTGCCAAGCCACCATCCTGGTAACGGGGTCTTCCTGTTTCCGCGAAATCATAAATCTTCATTACCATCCTTCCCAAAGGGGTTATACAGTAAGGGGCTGACTGGACATGACTGGACATTGGCCGCTCCGGGAAGAATATTTCACAAGTGCACATCAGCATAGCCACTGAGGGAGGGGTTTCGAAAATGGACCAATAAGATTCTATTGCTCTTGTGACGCTGAATCTTCGTGCATGTGAGGGTATGTTGTTTACGTTTTAATTTGCATTTGTTTCGCAGTTATAAATGTATGGAGTAATAATAGAAAATCTCGTTGTGCTTTCATTTTTTGAGTTCAATTAATTTCTGGCATTCGCGTTCACGATTTTATCACGCATTAATATTTGGATTGATGTTCATGGTATATTATCGCTCTTTACATCGAAAAAACGACTCAAGCTACAATTAGCCTCGAATATTATGCATTTCCTAACACCTGTGGATTAAGAGAATTCAAGTGTATATATATTTTTTTAAATTCAGCTGAGAAGGACTGGAAGAAGCACTACAACGAATCTATTGTTTTCTTATTTCAATGCGTGCATTCTTTTAATTTTGAAGAGGCAAGATTCAGAATACATATTGTGTATAACCTGATTATATTCGCTTTTAACATTAAAAATTATATGTGAATAAATTGAATATATTCGTTATGATAAAATAAATTAATTCTATTTGATGAGTATTTCTGGAGAAGAGTGAACAGTTATTAAATATGAAATTTAACACACTAAGTGTATACAAATGCAAATTATTAAAATTCACTTTGAATAAAATTCTGCATTGTCTATTATTATAGAACATCTTTTTCATACAGATTGCAATAAAATGGGCTGACGTCTATTTACGTATATAACTGGTGTAAATATTTTTCTCATATGCATAGGTTTATCTAAAGATAGCATTTAGGCGCAGATGTTTATCATATATTTAATTCTTTCTGTTATTTACCACTTATTAAGTAATCAATAATAGATCAATATAGTAGTTTATTAAGTAATACTTTACATGCAATATTTTTGCGAAGTGTCCAACATTTGTTTGTATTTCAAATTCTTTCAACAACAGGTTCTTTCAGTGAAATCTTCACAACTGCTTATATTTGACCTAACTTCGCAATGAAAATTTTCAGAAGTAATCGACGATGCTTTAATTTTTTGTACAGAAAATTGCGTGGCAAAATGTTTTCAACTACTTGCTTAAATTTTAAAGCACGCGAAAAGTCATGTGACATGAGAGAAATATTACTGGATGCCCATTGGTCGATCCTAGAAGCCACTCCCTCGGTGGCTACACAGATGTGCACTTGCGAAATATGCTACCCGATGCCAGTTACGTTAGACTGAGAGTAATGCATCTAACATCCGAGAGAACAATACCGCTGTAATCCTTCTCTAATAACGATACAAAAATTACGATCCATAGTTCGTACATTTTTCAGTCTGATGCGATATCAAATCCACATACAAAATTTCGATAGAAGAATAAATTAATTCTCTCTCATTATATCGCAACAATGGCAGGCAGTTTTAAATGATTTTCTTCATTTTAATCAAATGGTCGTAAAAGCTGAAGTTCCATCTAATATTTCACTGATATTCAATTTTAGTCCATTAAATGTGGCAAAAAATGGATTGCGATGGATCAAAAATCGATGATGCGAACAAACATTCTTCTTCATATATATAGATTTTGTAAAACTTACAAATTTTTGATTAATAAACTCTACGATTTGAAAGCGAGCAGTGGCAACACTCTTCGAAATAAAGCATTTTTATCTCCAACGTGAGAGACTGTTGCCACCTCGGAAAAATGAGTGCGAAAATGAGAGTTTTCAGAGTTGTTAATGAATATCTCGGCCGATTAAAGTCGTACGAAAATGGTAACAGTCTAAATGGCTTCGCACATATTTTTAGAATCGAGAATAATATACTTAATGCTTGGTAGAGCTTTTTTATTTCATATTTTGCAAAACTTAGAAACTTTTTATAAACAGACTCTAGGATTTGAAAGCGAGCAGTGGCAACACTTTTCAAAATAAAGCAGATTTTCATCTCCAGCTTGCGAGATTGTTGCCACCCTGAAAAATGAGGCTAAAATTTATCGTTTCTCCGAGTTTTTAATCAATATCTCTAATTGTAGATATTTTTTTTTTTTTTTTTTTTTTTTTTTTAAAGTGGACGTCGACCTTTTTTAGGACCCAGAGAAGAATTGTAGGAAGTCAGCTAGAGTAGTGATTAAGTTAAGCTCGAACATACAAACACACAGGCATTATATATAGAGAGATAACGAATTACAATGATTTCTTATGTAATACACACAGATTAACGGAGACACGACGTTATATTAGAATAAGAGAAAGACAGGCAGAGTAGTATAGCGTTGATAGCGTGGCCAGAGTTAGGAAAAGACTTGCGAGCGGTATTTATACTAAGTCTGATGTAATTGTAGAGACAAGCTATGATTGGTTAATTTATAAGGTATTTCTCCCGCTTTCCTAGCGTGCCTTCGTGGTGTAGTGGTCAGCAGACTGAGCCGGTATTTCAAAGGTCCGTGGTTCGATTCCCGGCGAAGGCGTTGCTAATTTTCAATCTCTCTTGCATCGAAACAAATCCGAATGTCTCAATAGTGGCGCCCGAACTAAAAGGGTTGTGGATGAAGACTCTCCACACAGGATTGGCGATTGGGTTCTAAAAACCATCGCCCTTAAAACGGATATTAAGGTATTTCTCCCGCCTTCCTAGCGTGTCTTCGTGGTTTAGTGGTTCTGCACGCTGGGCTGGTATTTCAGAGGTCTGTGGTTCGATTCCCGGCGAAGGCGTTTGCTCATTTTTCATCTTGCCTGCTTCCAAAAAATCCTAAAGTCTCTACAAATTTGAGGTTGTTATATAACGTAGAAAGATCTCGAATTTGGGAGAACAGAGGAATTTAGGGGAGAACACCAAATCTAGAATCGTTAATTTTGAGGTCGCCAATTACTTTTAAATGCATTTTGTTATATCTTACATGTATACATTTTGTACTTCCAATTGCAATAAAGAAGAGGTGCACAACTGGATGTTATAGCAGTTCCACGTACCAAATTTCAGCATTCTATGGCTAATCGTTTTCAGTTACGCCAGATACTACGTACAGACGTCACGATAAATCTTTTTTGGAAAAAAAAAGTCTTTTGTTCTATCCGTACATTACAGATATCATAGGAGAAAAAAAAGTCCTATGGATTCGGGAACGGTGAAATTGGGTATTTACATTGAAATGTTATACCCGAAATTTTTTGCTATTACAATACTTCGTTTATTTAGTACAAGGAAGCAGAAGTACTGTAGATGGTAGACAGGTTATTTTGGAAAATCATTTTTTTTTTTTTTTAAATAAGAGGTAAACAAAAATGAAGGTGTGGCGTATATACGGGGAAGAACACGATAAATAAAAAAACTCCCGAACTCACCTGAGAATCCTTGAGTCCCAGTTTCTCGGCAAGTTTTTTCCTGTCCGGCTTGCTTATATATTTCTGGATTTGGAACCTTTTCTCCAGGCCTTGCCGCTGAGCGTCGCTGAAGACCGCTCTCCTCATCATGCCGCGACGAGGCTTGCCCCTAGCCGCGGCCGCCCATGGAAAGGTGGCAGGAAGAGGAAAGGTGACCCCCGACGTAGGAGTTATTCCCGCCAAACCGTTCATACCGACGGAGTTGAAACCGATGCCTGCAACTGTTACTCCAGGGATGCTAGAATTAGGACCTGAAAGATACGAGAAAGACAGCCATTCTGATTACATGTAGTACATTTGAACTGATTCTTGAAAAATGAAGTCGGATATTTTTGCGTAAATAAAAAATTTCTTCTTTAGTACTCCCTTTTAACACTCAAAATGGCTATTAATTTCGTTTTGGCATTTTGATTTGATTCACCATAAACGGCGAATCACTTTTTTAATTGTTGCCACCCAATATTAGAGTCCTGCATTATATTTAAAGAAATTGAATAAGGAAGAATCTGCATAGATTTATGCATATTTCTCGCACTGTAGTAAAACAACGGTACCTAGAGCCATCCAATTTTGAATAACGTACGTTTCCATCCGAATATGAGCATCTGGAAGCCCGAATTTGAAATTTGTTTTATTACCTATTTTACATTTTGTAAAGCATTTTTATGAGTTTTTGATTAAGAAACTCGACGATTTCAAAGCGAGCAATGGCAACACTATACAGAGACAAAACATATATATCTATATATAAATCGAACAGAATTGTAAGCGAACAAGTAATGAGACGTAAGACCTATTTGTCATAAATTTTTTGCGCAGAATGCTTCAAAAATATATGAATATAGTAGAACATTGCATCCACTTGCTAAAAAGTTACAGGAGCTGTAGCTCCACGAAATAGTTCAAGGCAGTATTATAATATTAACAAAGAAGAAATTTTTTTAAAAAAAATATTAATCTGGAAAAAAACTGCTTACACGCGAAATAAACTGTTAAAAATCAATGTTGGAAGACTTGAATGCACGAAAAAAATAATCTGACCGTTGTGATAGTGAAAATTTATACACATAAAAATATTCCGGAACAAGTAAAACAAAATAAAATTAAAATAATTAAAACATAAAATGCAAAAATTATAAAAAAATAATTGCAAAATTACAAAAACAATAATTACAAAGCGGGAAATAGGTAATTAACCCACTCGAACCCTCAACCAGGCTTTTCAAGGGAAAAATGATTGAATGTCGAACTAGGCCAAATAACATTACGCGTTTCGCCGAAACAGACCATTGAAACTCTTGTTTGATGAGGAAAATTTTATAAAAAACAGGAATTGTCCCGAAAAAATCTTTTTTGGAGCTTCAATTCTCTGTTCCTTTTTCCCGACGCGTTCGAAGAAAAACACATTAAGGTGTAAAAAAAACACACACACACACACAAAAAAAAAAAAAAAAAAAACTTTCAGATTTTATATTACGATTAAAGAGGCGTTTTTTAACGTTTTGTGCGTTACCTTTACTTATTAAATATCATCTTTTTTCGCACTTAAACTATAAAATTCAGATTAACAGCAATATCTCAAAATAATTTTAAAATGAACCTATCTTTAGAATTTCCGATACACAGTCTGGCGCGCTGGAGATAAAAAGTTTTTTTTTTTTTTCCGTACAGTGTTGCCATTCTGCGCTATGAAATCGCTGAGTTTCTTAATCACAAAGACTTTAATGTGTGACAAAATAGAAAGAGATAATAAAGCAAAATCCAAAATTCGGTTTTCCAAGATGCCGATATTCGATGGAGAGTTACATTATTCAAAATTGGATGGCTCTAGTTACTGTCGTTTTACCACAATGCCATATGCAAGAAACATACGTGCATTTATGTAGATTCTTCATTATTTAATTTCTTTAAATATAATACTGCACTATAATGGTTGGTGGCAACAGTTTGAAAAGTGAATCAACGCAAAAAGTGAATCGACGCAAAATGCCAAAACGAAATAAATAGTCGTTCTGGGCTAACGACATTGGGCTAATAATTTTACGTGAACAAATAATGCTTAGTTTTGAAGATTTTTATTCATTTTAAAACCAAAATCAATTTAACTTTGAATTTTGGTTAATTTTTAAATTTCCTTTTTTTCCCCTCATCAGTATATCCAAAATGACTTTAGATTCTAAAAAAGATTTGAATATGGGTAAATATTTAGGTATTTATAATACACAGCGCTCGCTGCCAGCCTCCGTCTGGCTTTTAATGTTACCGAAAAATGCTGAAGGGAACAAACACCAAACGTTAAATTTTAAAATTGCGTAGAATTTACTCTGCAACACTCATAAAAAAAAGTCATACCTATATAAATTACAATGAAATAAGCATATCTCTTAATACAAATATTATTATCCGAATAATAAATAACCAACTCCTTTGCAAATCTAAGAACCAATGGTATAAGAGGTTAATAACTTTGTCTTAAAAATCACGCACAAGTTTTCATTTTTAAACATGAAATGAGCATAAATACTAAAATGATACAACAAACAAAACATTCCGAAACAAGTATAATTAATGATATTTATCTTATTTCAAGAGAAAAATTTCAATGATAAGCTATATCCCGAATACAAATAAATTAATTATCCTAATAAAAAATTAACCATTTCGTGAAGAAAAAAAGATCATGCACTTTTCAATCTACAAACGTGAAATAAGCAAAAATAACGCAACTCAAAAATCAAAAATTCCAGCGGACTTCCTTCAAAACAGTGACATAAAAATACGACGGAAAAAATTGTTGCCAACCATATTGCTAAAAGAATGAAACTATTCATGATGCGCTTTCATCACCAATCTATCAACAACAATAGACAGGAAATTGTTGCCAAAATCACATTTTAAAGATGTGAGCTTGCGAGTGTACTCGGAAGATTCATTTAAAAAATTCTTTAAAAATACAATATTATCATTTTTAAATTCTTTTTGCAAAAGCAGTGGAGGATGAAGTTATGTCCAAAAATCAAAGACAAATAACGTACATTTAAAAATAACTATTTTAGAAAAAATCACGTTGAAAAGATGTTAAGCTCCTTTGTTAAATAAATCGTATTATCGATTGATTGACACGCAAATTTATTTAGTCGTAAAATACTACGTGCCTCGGTTCATGCTATGTGAAAAGGGAGGGTAAGTAAATCTCGCTTTCCTATATCCCAGTATGCTACAAGATCGATTTGTCACAAAACAAAATAAAAAAATTTCAATTCGAATTTCGAAACAACGCTTCGAGGTGCACGCTCTTTCTAGTGCACTATTACCAAATTGTACCGTGGGCATTAGCTTCGCGCAGCGCGAAAAACACACCACACACAGACGATTTTTTATTATTAGAGATACTACTTTGAGAAAATCAAACATCAATGCTACCAACTCTTTCGATCATGGTCTCAAATTTTGAGATGCGAATTAAATAAAACTTGACTTACCTGTGAAGTAAGGCTTTCGACAGGCAACCAATGAATGCAGATTACACTTTAAAATGTCATGTAAATTTTAGGGTATTAAATTTTTAATTATTAATGACTGTATGATGGAAAAAAATTAGATTTCTTATGGGGTTATCTAAAGTATTCTGAACAGATACAAAACTAGATACTCGTTTGTAAAAATAATTTTAAAATTGAAAAGAGAAGTTTTAGAATTTCTTTGGAAATTCCGAAGTTACCATACATATCAGATGGATTTTAAATAAATTTATGTCTATGAAAATCTTTGAAAGTTTATAACATCAAGTTTATAACATCAACACTAAAAAATAAATAAAAGTTCACTTTTAATTAAACGTTTTTAATAGTTTTGAATAAACTACGATAAAACGTTACTGTACAATGCTCAAGCGACTGCATTAAGTTTATAACATTAACAAAAAATATAAAAAGAAATAAACGTGTGTTTCATCGCTGTTATTGGCTAAATGCATAATTAATAAATAGTGTCTACACGCGTGTTAATTATTCCATGAAAAACGTATAATTGAATGAAAATATATAGAATACATCTGCTTTTGAGTGAGCATAAAAAATAATTTCCGCAGCAATTTTATCACCGTTACTTTTTTATTTCAAAAATGGCTTTACGAAGAACAATAAAAATTACTTCGGAATTTTCTCAATTAATTAACTCATTTAATCATAGAAATGTGTAAAACGAGTTATGGAAACGACTAAAAAAGAATCTACACTAATTATCTAGCGAAACGTGAACGGTCCCTCCCCCCCCCTCTTCAACTTTCGATGTCGTTTCTGTCGGAATGAAAACGAAAAAAAAAAAAAAAACTAACGTAAAATCCTCAAAAGAAGCCCCCCCCCCCAAAAAAAAAAAAAAAAACGTAAAAATTCCGGCAATTAAGCCAAAAATGAGAGAACTGGAAAGTAAAATGGAACAGATGTTTTGAAACGAACATTGCATTTATATTGTAGCGTACGTGATTTTCTTCAAGCTTCGGATCGTTTTTTATTCGAAATGATAATTGTTTCGGGATTTTTTTTTTTTCAATTTGCGCAGCTCCATATAAGAGAGAAAGATTTGCTGATAATCTCCATTCAGTTTTTTGAATGCTGCAATTATTTGTAAAAGTGGTTTAAGACAATTCGTACAAACTTGAAAAAAATTAACAATTTGCATTTAGATCTATTGAATATGTTACCCGCAGAGAATGGAACGCCGGCATTATATATATAGAATGCCTAGGCATTGTATATAATGCCGGACGTATTTAGGCAAAGTATAAAATAGGAGCAGTATTACACACTTTCCCTAGGCATTGTATGTAATGCCAAGGCATTCTATAAATGTTCTTTAGACAAAGTATGAAAAAAAAAAGGTTATGATAAGACTATTTTTTAAAAGACGTTCATTCCTCAAAATTATTGTTTTCGTTTTGCGATTTCGCGTTGGTTCACTATAGATGTCCGTTTCACTTTTCAAACTGTTGCCACTCGATGTTAGAGTCCTGCATTATATTTGAAGAAATTAAATAATGAAAAATCTGCATCAATGTATGTATATTTCTCGCATTGTGATAAAACAACGGTACCTAGAGCCATCCAATTTTGAATGACGTAATCCTGTTGTGAAAATGGGCATGTGGAAGCTCAAATTTTAAATTTGGAATTTGTTTTATTATCGATTTCGTATTTTGTAAAACTTTAACGA